AAAAAAAAAAAAAAAAAAAAAAAAAAAAAAAAAAAAAAAAAAAAAAGGAAACAAGAAGTTGTGAGATATATATATTTCATTCTTTTTTATGGCTGAGTAGTATTCCATCACATATATATCCATCATATATCCATCACATATTCCATCATATATCTATGATGCAATACTATTCAGCCATAAAAAAGAATGAAATAACGCCATTTGCAGCAACATGGATGCAACTAGAGATGGTAATATTAAGTGAAGTAAGTAAGAGAAACACAAACATTATACAGTATCACTTACGTGAGGAATCTTAAAAATAGTACAAATGAACTTATTTACAAAACAGGAACAGACTCACAGACATAGAAAACAAACTTATGGTTACCATAGGGGAAATGTAGGGGGAGGGATAAATGGGGAGAAGGGATAAATTGGGAGTATGGGGTCAGCATATGCACAGTACTATAGATAACCGGTAGCGCGCTGGCCACGCATGTGTCTCTTGCTTCCACAGTGTTTGGACTGAACAGACCCAAGGGCGCCCCTTCCTCCAGACTCGGACCACCCTCCAAGCTTTTTTCCAGTCACAACCTTGGAATCACCCACTCAGCTCTCCTCGCCCTCCGGGACCAGCCAACACCATTTTCTGAGCTTAGCTCCTTACTGCAGACCAAGCATGAGCTCCCAGATTCGTCACAATTACTCCGCCGGGTAGAGGCCGCAGTCACCCGCCTGGTAACGTGCGTCTGCCGCTCTCCCACACCTACCTGTCTCTGCGCTTCTCTTCCCACACGACGCGGCAGCTCGCGAGGGCGTGAGACATCGTTTCGCGAACGGGCCGAGGAGAAGCCGGAGGGCCCGAGCTCACTGGAAAAGGCAAAAGCAGCGCTGTGGCCGCGCCCTCTTCCAGGACGTGCCGAAGCCGTCCCAGGAGCGTGGGTAAAGCCCAGGACGCCGTGGAAGCCGCCCGGCTGACGGAGAAGAACCTGCGCCAGGCCCTGTGGGTCCGCAGGCCCTGGGCTCTGCCCGCGCAGACTCCACCTCTGGACTTCCTGGAGCCACTTCCTGGATGACCAGGTGAAGCTCATCAAAAAGATGGGCGACCGCCTGACCAACCTCCACAGGCTGCTCGGCCCCCAGGCTGGGCTGGGCGAGTGACTCTTCCAAAGGCTCAGCCTCAGGCACCACTAGGAGCCCCTGGAGCCCAGCGGCCTGTGAGGAGCCCCTCCGGAGTCAGGGCTTCTGCCTGCAGCCTCTCCCTGCAGCCACTGGGCAGCTTGTTAACCGCCCTGGAGCCCTCTCCGAGCCCTGGGCCAAAGGGAAACAATAAAGCTTTCTGCAGCAAAAAAAAAAAAAAAAAAAAAAGATAAAAAAAAAAAAAAGGACCTACTGTATAGCACAGGGTACTATATTCAATATCTTGTAATAAATTATAACGGAAAAAAACGTTTAAAGGAATATTTCTATCCAAAAAAGAATATATATGTATATATGCATATATATGTATATCAGAATCACTTTGCTGTACACCTGAAACTAACACAATATTGTAAATCAACTATACTTCAATAAAAAGGAAAAAAATTGGAACCAACCCAATGTCCTTCAACAGGAGAATGAAAAAATGTACTATGGCATCATCACCAGTGGGCTATCACACCAGCATTGACAACGAGTGACTAGACTACAGGTATCCATGTTTACAAATATAAAAAACAATGTCGAGGGGGCAAAAAGTTAGAGAAGCTTACACTGAAATGATATCATTTATCCTAAATGTGTTAACATACGCAGAACAATATCATGTTGTATCAGATACGTAGCAAAATAGGAAGGCATGCGTGGGCATGATAAACAGCAAATGCAAAATCTAATAACCTCAGGGGAGGGAGGGAGGAAAATGGATGGGGGGATACACAGAGGGCTTAGACTGCTTCTGTAAAGTTGTATAGTCTTCTAAGTTTATTAGTGAGGATAGGGAGCCGTTTACATGATTCCAAATAATTTTGGTATACAGAAATGGTTCAAAATAAAATTAAGAAAAGACTCCCTAGGACTTCCCTAGTGGCACAGTGGTTAAGAATCCACCTGCCAATGCAGGGGACACACGTTCAATCCGGGAAGATCCCACATGCCGCTGAGCAACTAAGCCCATGCGCTACAAATACTGAACTCGCGTGCCACAACTACTGAGCCCACGCACCTAGAGCCTGCGCTCCACAACAAGAGAAGCCACCACAATGAGAAACCCGCGCACTGCAACAAAGAGTAACCCCTGCTCGCCACAACTAGAGAAAGCCCACCTGCAGCAACAAAGACCCAATGCAGCCAAAATAAAAAAGAAGAAGAAAAAAGACTCCCTAGGTTTATCAGTCAAGATACAATAGGTTCTGCTGCAGTAACAAACAACCCCAAAGCTCAGTGGCTTTAATCAAACAAATGATAATTTTAAATGCTATATATCCAAGGAAGATGAGCATCAGTTTCTGGTCACTGTAGATACATACTCTGGAATTCAGGCTGATGGAAACTTCACTTCACCCAACAGATCCCCACACACAGAACAGCCTGGATGGAAAGTGGTGAACAGCTTGCAGGCTCTTATCTTGTGCTGAAGTTGACACACATTGGTTTCACTTATAGTTCATTGGGCAAAGGGAATCACATGGCCACGTCTAACTGCAAAGGAAAATGCAATCTTAATCATGTTCCCATAAGGAGGAGAAACAGAGACTTTAGGAATGACCTTCATGTTTAGTATCTCCTACCCTGCCCTGCCAAGAAAACAACTTAAGGTTGTTCCAAAGATCTTGCATATCTCTTTCTTATTAGGTTTTACAACCCTCTACACTTTTGTACATGAGAAAATGCAGGCACAGTCGAGAGAAGTATGTTGACCTCTCCAAGGTCACGCAGCCAGGCCATGAAATTAACAGTTGGAGGGCTAAGGCCTCAGCCCTGTCCTTGGTGCTGCCGAAAACCGCCAGTCTTTGGGCTCTTTCCTCCAAAAGAGCATTTCCCGGGACTTCCCTGGCGGTCCGGTAGTTAAGACTCCGCACTTCCACTGCAGGGGGCACCAGTTCATCCCTGGTCGGCAACTAAGATGCCGCATGCCGTTGCGCGTGGCTGAAAAAAAGGCGTTTCCCAAACGTTACACCACACCACCTAAGGTCTTTTGCAAATAAATCCCAGTATCACCAGTGTTGCTGTTTGCTGAGTATCTTTCTGCAAACGGACTTTAAACACCTTACATTCATAAACTTTGCCTCACTGGGTTATCACAAGCCATGCAGAGGAGGTGACCACAAAAACGTGTAACATGAAAGGAGAACAAAGGTTATTCAATTCTGGTCAGTGTCAACTGACTGCCAGAGCTTACTCATATAGGTTAAAAAGAGAAATTCGAATTAGTTCGCAGCCACCCAGTAACCCACGCAGGCTGTCTCCTGCGGGAAGTGACAGGCAATTAGGAAGAAATTCATCACTTTCTCCCCGGGGAGGGGGAGACCCGGCTCCTGGGAAGCCCCGGCCCGTCCTCCAGTGCGCCTGCGCCAAGGCGCTGACGCCAACCCAGGCCACGCCCCCTCCCGGAGCGACCGCGGGCCTCGGGGGCGGGGCCTGGGCACAAGATGGCCGCTGCGCGCCCGGAGCCCCGGAGTCCGAGCTCAGCGGCCCCGGAGCCGAGATCCCCGGAGCCTCCGGACCTGGTGCGGGCGAGGAAGGGGCCTGGGCGGGGAGCTCGAGGCGGGAGGAGGGCGCAGGGGTGGGCGGGGCCAGGGCGGGGCTTAGGGCTGGGCGGGGAAGGTATTTAGTGCTCCGGCCCTGGGGGCGGTGCTTTCTCGGGGTGGGCGAGGGGTGGGGCTTAGCACGGAGCCTATGAGGGTGGAGGGGCGGGGCCTGAGTGGGGGTGGAGCCTGAGGAGGGCGTTGGGCGGAACATCTGAGCTGGTGATAGGTCCAGAGAGAGGAGTCCCGGGGATGAAGTTTGTCTAATTAGGGGGCGGAGCCTTCAGAGGGCGGGGCCTCAGAAATTCTAAGGTGGAAAGTTGGGAAGGTGACCCTGAAAGACAAAGGTGTGGGGTTATGGTTGGGGCATGCACGTTGGGGTGGGGGGATGATTCTGCAAGGGTCTGAGTGATGCGTCCTGATGCCCAGGGGAGGATTTGGGGGGAGAAATGACTGCTCCAGGTGACCTTGGAACCCCACTCAGGATGGGAGGGTATCTGAGGACAACCATTCATTCAACAGACATTTACTCAGCTCCTACTTGGGCTAGACAGATGGAGAGGTGAATGAGACACATAAGCTGTATTCTTTTGCAGCTTGCAGTTGGGTAGGGAAGAGAGACAATAGACGAGACTTATTGTGCTACGTTCTATAAAAAAGAGTGAGCTGATAAAGTTGGGGGGTAGGGAAGCTAAATTTAGAAGAGAGAAGTCAGCTGTGTGCCGGCTTATATTTACACTAGGGTCAGAGAGATAAGCGGGAGCCAGATCATGATGGGTAGTAGATGGCGTTTTTGGATTTTAAGAGCAGTTGGAATCATGGGAGGGTTTTGAGTGGGAAAATGACTGCTGTCTGATTTCCGTTTTCAAAAGGTCATTCGGGCTGCTTTGGGGAGGTGGGTTATAAGGGAGCAGGCGTAGGAACAGAGTCATTCAGAGGGTCAGGGGACTTGGCAAGAAATGATTGGCTTAATTGTAAGTGGGGTGGAGGAGAGAAATGGCTGGATCTGTGATATATTTTGGACAGGAGGGGAAGTCTTGGTGGTCATACGGCAGAATCTCAGAGGAAGGAGAGCCGAATCTAGAAATTAAGGGGCTCAGTATGTTACAGAGTGTGTTTTAGTAAGTGTGTTTAATACGTGTGTTTAATAAGGCGTAGTGGGGAGGCCTTGAGGCAGAGTCCACAGGCTCCTTGTTTCTCCCCCCCCCCCCCGCTTCACCCAGGTCCTGGTGCCTGATGATAGCCGCCCGGCCACCCCCCCGAGTGACCTCATCGAGATCCAGGTGGTGAAGGTGACGGACACCACGCTGGTACCTGAGCCCCCGGAGCCAGGTTCTCTCCACTGTGCCTTGTGCCCAGCTGTCTTCCGGCTGGTCTCCGAGCTGCTGTTCCACGAACACGGCCACCTGGCGGGGGCTGAGGGTGGTGGGCAGGGTGGGGACCCAAGCCGGTGTCATGTGTGTGGCCACAGCTGTCCAGGCCCCGCCAGCCTCCGTGCCCACTACAGCCTGCACACAGGAGAGCGGCCCTACCGCTGCCCGCTCTGCCCCCGGGCCTTCAAGGCCCTGGCACCTCTGCTGCGGCACCAGCACCGACACGGGGTGGAGCCGGGGACCTCTCAAAGGCCTCCGGAGGCGGCGGCGGCTCAAGAACAGCGGCCCGGGGTGCCCCAGGAGAGGTCGGAGGTGGTGATGGCTGCGGCGGCCGCAGGCGCGGCGGTGGGGAAGCCTTTCGCCTGCAGGTTCTGCGCCAAGCCGTTCCGCCGCTCCTCAGACATGCGAGACCACGAGCGGGTGCACACGGGCGAGCGGCCCTACCACTGCGGCGTGTGCGGCAAGGGCTTCACCCAGTCCTCGGTGCTCAGCGGCCACGCCCGCATCCACACTGGCGAGCGCCCCTTCCGCTGCACCCTCTGCGATCGCACTTTCAACAACTCCTCCAACTTCCGAAAGCATCAGCGCACCCACTTCCACGGGCCGGGACCGGGGTTGGGAGACTCTGGAAGCCAGCTGGCATCGGGGGCCGACGGGTCAGGGAGTGGGTGTGGGGCAGGAAACACTCTGGAAGAGGGACGTGGGGAGACCGCCAAAGTGAAGGTGGAGATCGACCAGTAGTCTGGGAGAGCAGGAACGTGGGAGGTAGGCGGCAGGTTGCAGGGGAGGGGTGGGTGGGATACGGAGGCAGGGGAGGAAGGGGAGAGGTTGGGGGAGAGGTGACGTAAGAGCCCACGGAGATGGCAACGAGCGGCCAGGGTGGGTGAGCAGAGGGAGAAGCGGGCTCAGGACGCTCACAAGCCACCCAGCACCCGCATGAGATTCAGAGGAAGGCACAGAGGCAGCCCTGTGGATGCCCAGCAAATGCAAGGAACACGGGCTCGATTTCATTGCCCCGTTTGCCCCCCTGATGGGTTGTCCTCGCGCAAGACACAGCTTGCGGCAGCAGAGCTGAGCACTGCAGAGGGGGGACCAGGATGGAACATTTTGCCTACCTCACTGGATTGCACTGACCATGGGATGCCTACCCGTCCTCAGGCAGAAGATGCCCACCGGGTCCTCCATAAAGAGACTGGGACCCCATCACCTCAAAGCCAGAGGGTCCCCAAGTCATAGCCAGGAGCGCTCAGGTCGCAAGGATGGAAGCCTGACCGTAAGAATTTTGACTGCAGGAGCTACCAGCCCTGCTCCCATGTGGTCCCTCCCTAAGCCACCCAGACTCCTCTTCCAAGGCAACTGAAAACCCAGACCACAAACAGTCACCTAACATCCCCCTCCTAAAGCTTCAGGCTCAGAGCCCATGGTCCCCCAGGTCTACACAGTAGCCTCAAGTTTCTCTAACTACCTTCACTCCCAATTTGAAGCAAACCGCTTACAGCTTGGTCCCAAGCTATGCCAAGGAATGGTTGGTGGGTGGCAGTGTGGTGGCCTGGCTGGTGTCTGGCGGCTGGGGAACAGGAGTTGGGTCACTGGGGGGTTGGGCAGAGGAGGAGCTGCAGGTGGGAAGCCTCCAGTTCTGTTCCCATTAAAGGACTTTATGAAGGGTTTTCTCTATGTTGGTCTTGTGTTCCAGGGCTGGGGGTAGAAGGGCCACACTGTGGTCCTGGCCCCAGCAGTGAGTTGCAACTCTCTCCAAACCTCTGTTTCCTCATCATCAGAATGGGGTGGACAGCGTCTGGCTATTCAAAGAAGCTATGTCGTTCAGCTATGGGATTGGGGGTCAGGGAAGTTTGGCAAAACAAAGGGACTCCCGTGTCAGGATACTAAAGGTGGGAGAGCCCTGGATTTGCACCCCTTCCCCTTCCCCCAACACCCCCATAAGCTGTCCCACAGACAACTCATAAGGGGAACAGAATTCAGTTTTTACCAAGGAAACGCCCGTGTTTCCCATCACTGGCATCACCACCCAAGCTAGAAGCCTTGGCAGGTTCCTTGAGTCTTTTTCCTCCTTCATCCATTTATCTGACTCCCTATCAATTTCCCGCTGTTGAGCCAAATATCTTTGGAATCTGAATGCTTCTTTTCATCATCACTACTCTTGTAGACCAAGCCGACAGTGGTCTCACACGTCCACGCCCTGCTCGCTTCATTCTCCATACTGTGGCCACGCGGATCCATCCTTCCAAAACTCAGACCCCAACCTTGTCACCAACCCACAGATCCTTGTGGCCGTGAGAAGGGATTCCAAACGTGAGTGCCTACAGGAACTGTGGCGGCAATGTAACTAAGTGAGGAAGGTGGCCGGGTTTGAGGGGAAACATCAGGACCAGCGAGGTGAGATAGGACCACTGACACTTGGGCTCAGCGTTGGGATTTGACAGTGCTGGGGAAATGGCAGCAAACTGGAGGATATATGCCACGTCCAAAGAGAGCAACGGCTACTTGGCCCCGGGGAGGATGCAGACTGTGTTGCTAGATCTTCCAAATTTTTCAGAAGTTCCATTAGTTCGTATTATGTAAAATCTCTTGATTTTCAAATGTTGGCAGATAACTCAGCCTTTTTTTTTTTTAATGTATGGGCTAAACCAAATGTGTCAGTGTCTTATATCCAGCAGCTGCTAGCTGCCAGCCCCGGGCCTACAAGATCACCCAAGCTCCGCTATTGGGAATTCATGGCCCTTCGGTATCCAGCCTCCTACCGCCAGCCTCTCAAGCCGTACCAATCTATTTGAAATTCTCTGGAAGAGCTGGGTTGAGTTAGACACACAAAACCCTCCACCTGGAATTCTTTGTCCACTTTACCTGGCAAGCTCCTGTGGCTCTGTCGTCCTTCGGGCATCCTCCTCCTCCTCCTGCAGGAAGCTTGGTTAGTCCCCTAGTCTGATAAAGTGACTCTTCCATGCTCTCAGCCCCCGGTGAAACTTCCATGTCCTTTATATTATGGTGGTCCACATCCATGTGACTTCTGAGCCCTGGTACGAGGTCTGTCGCCTGCTGGATCTCCAGCCTTAGAGCATGGTGGCCACACTGCCGCCCTCTCGTGGGTCAAACCGGACTCACCCAGGCAGTGCCCGCTGAGCCGGCTTTGTCTTCAGGTTTCAGTATTGAGGGTCCCCGGACTGTAGTCCCAGTGTTACCACGAACTTCTTAGGGATCTTTGGGGCCTCTTTCTTCTCTACGAGCTCAGCATCCTCTTCCGACAAGGATAACTAAATGAACCTTGCAGGTCATATATTTCACTGTTCCAAGAACCAAAATGAGGGCTGTGAAAGGGCTTTTGAAGTTCCCCTAAGTCACCCTGGAGGGAGAGGTTACTACGAGCGAGCTGTATAATAAACACGCATCTGCACAAGGCTGGAACACAGTAATGGTTTACCGGTTCTTTTCCATCTCACTCGAGGGCAAGGAACACGTCCAATTCATGTTTCCCCAGAGTCCATCGAAGGACCCGGCAGACAGGGGCCTTGGGGCAATGTTGGCTGAGTGAACAAATGCCAAAAGCTTCTTGAAGGGGAAGGAGTATAGGCACATCGTCAGTTCCCGAAAGCAGCGACTTACCTGTTTTGTTCATCTCCCATTTGCCCGACTGGAAGCCTAGAGCCTGGATATGGTGAACCCTTGGTAACTACCAGCTGAAGGAGGAAAAGCAGAGAGAGCGAGGGTGAGGCAGGAGGTGTCAGGAAATCAAAATCCCAGGGAACAAAACTTCTCAACCTTCGGTTTGTCAGTGCTTAATCCCCTCCCCCTGGGAGGGAAGAAAGGACTCCAGCGGCCCTGTTGATAAGATTTATTATTCTCCGCTCTGTACAAGCCGCGTCTGCCACCCGCCCCCCACCCCCACAAACCAAGAGCGCCCAGTCCCCCCTGTGCCCTCCCAAACTGCTTGTACTCCACTGTCCGGCCAGATTCCAAAGGAAGGGGGAGGGGCTGTTCAGGCCCATCTCCACCAAGCTGATTGGGGGACTGAACAGCTGCTGGGGCAGGGGACTGATGAGAGTTACAAAACGGGGTTGGACGGAGGATCAAGTTCAGCGTCTGATAGGAGGAGAAGGGGGCCAGAGAGGTCCAGATGGGAGTGGTTCAGTCTTGAGTTTGCATGACATGGGCCTTGAAGGAGGCTAGTCTGTCTGAAGTTCCGAAGGATGGATGGGACAAAGAGAGGAGGGGAAGGAGTCCGATCAGCCTCCCAAAGGGGCGAGTCCGGAAAAGGACACCTGATTGGAGTGGCAGATGGGAAGCACCCCCCCCGCCCTGGTCAGGCATCCTTCCCGGGCAAGGTGCCCGTCCCTGCTCCAGGCCCCCCGAGGCCCTCGGCCTTGTGGGCCAGGCGGTGTTTCTTGAGGCCATAGGTGTTGGCGAAACCCTCACCGCAGGAGGAGCAGCGGAAGGGCCGGCCGCCCTGGTGAGCCGCCAGGTGCTTACGGAAGTAGCCAGGATCCTTGAAGGCCTTGAGGCAGGCGGGACAGCGGAGCTCGGGCCGCGGCGGCTCGTGTGCGCGCTGGTGGCGCAGCACGGAGCTCAGGTAGAAGAAGCCCTTGCCGCAGTGCTCGCAGCGGTAGGCGCGCTCGCCCAGGTGCAGCCGCTGGTGCTCCAGCAGGTTGGAGCGGTAGCGGAAGGTCTTGCCGCAGGCGCCGCAGCGCTGGGGCCGGGCCACCGCGTGCAGCCGCCGATGCTCCGCCAGGCTGGACGACTGCGCGAAGCGCTTGGCGCACACGCCGCACTTGAAGGCCCGCTCGCCCGTGTGCACCACGCGGTGCTGCCGCAGGTACCAGGAGCGCAGGAAGCCTCGGCCACACACGCCGCACCGGTAGGGCCGTTGCTCCGTGTGGCAGCGCTGGTGGCGCATCAGCAGGGCCGCCTCCCAGAAGCGCTTGCCGCACACCGGGCAGCGGAAGCCCCGCTTCTGCCGGTGGCTGCGGCGATGCAGGAGCAGGTCGTAGGCACCCGCGAAGCTCTGGCCGCAGAGGCCGCAGCCCAGGGTCCGCCGCACCAGGTGCACGTACTTGTGAGTCACGAGGCCCAGGAAGTGCTTGAAGCTCTGGCCGCACGTGGCACAACTGAAGCGCTCGGGGCCCGCACCAGCAGCCCCGCCGCCCCCGGCCACCGCCGCCCCACTCGCATCGTCACCCCCAGACACCCCTGCCAGCGCCGCCACGGCCGCCCCCACCTCCCCGGCCAGCCCGTTGTCCAGCACGTTGGCCGCATCGGTGCTGCTGGAGCCATCCGAGGGCTGGGGGCCGCCGGGCGCGGGCGGGAGCAGGCGCTCAGGAGCAGCCTGGTGGACCAGCTTGTGCCACATAAGGTTCTCAATGAAGCCGAACGTCTTGCCGCAGGCGTCGCAGCCGTACGGCTTCTCCGCCATGTGCGCCTCCTTGTGGCTCATGACGTGGAAGAGGTCCGGGAAGTGCTCGCCGCAGTCCGAGCAGGCATAGCTCAGTCCATCGGCGGCGCCCCCGGACGTGGCCGAAGCGCCCGGGCCACAGGACCCCGTCGCGCCCTGGCTGGCGGGGAGGCCAGCGGCCCCGGCCAGGGCGCAGGGCAGCTGGAGCCGGTGCACCTGGCGGTGGCGGGTGAGGCTCTGCGGGTAGCCGAAGACCTTGCCGCACAGCTCGCACTTGTAGGGCCGCTCGCGGGTGTGCACCACGTGGTGCTTGCTCAAGTGGAAGGACTCGCGGAAGCGCTTCCCGCACACCGGGCACTGGTGTGGCTTCTCGCCCGTGTGGATGCGCTCGTGGCGCTTCAGCGTCTCGCGGCGCCCGAAGCCGCGCCCGCAGATGCCGCAGCAGAACGTCTTGCCGGGGACGCTGGCGCCCGAGGCTCCAGCCCCGCTGGTACCGGCCCCGCCGAGCAGCAGCGGGTGAGCGCCCAGGAGCGGGACGGGCACGGCGCCGTACACCACCGCCGCCGCGGCCGCCGCCGCCTTCTCGCTGTCTGTGGCCGGGGGGTCGGGGGGTAGGAGGTAGGGTCCCGAGGGGAAGGTCGGCGGGGGCTGCGGGACAGAGGCCGTCGCGTCCTTGGGCGCGTCGGGGGCCGCGGGCGGGGCGTGGGCAGCCTTGTGCCGCAGCAGGCTCTGGGGCGCCGAGTAGGACTTGCCGCACAGGTCGCAGGGGTACACGGGCCTCGGCCCCGCCGCGCCCGCGCCCGCGTGGGCCGCCTGGTGCTTGAGCAGGTAAGCAGCGTCGCGGAAGGCCTTCCCGCAGATGCCGCAGGGCAGGCGCAGCAGGTCGGCGGAGTGCGTCTTCACGTGCCGCTTGAGGCTCTCCCTGCGGTTGAAGCTCTTGCTGCACACGGAGCACGAGAAGGGCTTCTCGCCCGTGTGGATGATCTGGTGCTGGTGCAGGTGGCTGGGCTTCTTGAACACCTTCCAGCAGAGCGTGCAGGCGAACGGGCCGTCGCCGCCCCCTGTCGCCGCCGCCGCCGGAGGGGGTACCCCCAGACCCGCAGGGGCGGCGGGGGTCGCGCTGCCGTCGGCGGGGGCGGCGGGCGTGGCCGGGGGTCCGGAGGACGCCGAGGTGGGGGCGGCGGCGGGCGCGGGCAGGCCCAGCGGTGGGAGTGGGGCGCCTGGCTGCTGCGGGCCCCCCGCGGCCGGCGGCACGTCCTTGTGG